GGGCTCCTGGATGGCTCAGGTGGTTAAGCATCCGACTCTTAGTTTCGGCTCATGTCATGGTCTCAGGGTCCTGAGATCAAGCCCCATGTCGGGCTCCGCATTCAGCATAGAGTCTGCTTGTCCCTCTCGCTCTGCTCCTACCCCTGCTCCCACTCACTCTCTCAAATAAATAAATTTAAAAATCTTAAAAAAAAAAAAAGAATAGCCAGTGACATCTCAAAAGTGTCCTTCTGCACATGGCTTCTCAGTCCTGCATTCTATCCTTATTTAATGTGGCCTCTAACATCAAAGAAATTCATGACTAATGTTCTCTTGATTGAATTAATAAGTACATAATCAAAACCCACAGTATTCAGAACCTTTTTAAACTAATGGTTTAAATCTCTACCCCCTCTTAGCTTTTAATCAGAATTCCAGTACTATACAAGTAACAGTTTCCCTTCTGTGTTTCCTCTCCCCTTCCTTCCTGTAACTAATTGCTGGTAGTGTAATAATGAGCAGTGTATGAGCCAAAATCCTGGCAGTAAAGGGGAGAAAAAGAGAAGAAAATATGGCATTTGTAGAAGTTTACACTCAGTTTTTCTCCCAAGATATGAGATATAAGATCTCAGACTCTGGACTTGGAGTTGGGTTTCAATGCTGGTTCTATTACTTCCTAACTCTATGACCTTGAGTGATTCATTTCTGCGCCTCAGTCACCTCATCTTAAGAATGGGAATAATATGGGTGCTTGGGTGGCTCAGTCAGTTAAACATCTGCCTTCAGCTCAGGTCATGAAACCAGGGTCCTGGGATTGAGCCCCGCGTCAGGCTCCCTGCTCTGTGGGAAGCCTGCTTCTCCCTCTCCCTCTAACCCTTCCCCTGCTTGTGCTCTTGATCTCTCTCTCAAATAAATAAATAAAATCTTAAAAAAAAATGGGGATGATAAAAACACCTATGTCTTGAGGCTGTTCTGGGAATTAATGCATCAGAGCAATGAAAGTGCTTAGGACACCTGATTCAGAGCAAGATCTCAGCGTTGGCTGGTATTGCTGTTTCTCATAATATCGCAACCAACAAGCCTGCCTGAGGGAGGCTCACTGGCCTCATTTTAGAGATCAGAAAAATCAAGAAAGAAGTTAAATAGTAAAGTATTTCCATGTACATCATCTCCTTCAAAGGCTAAAGGGCTTGCGCCTATTTCCCTCTTAGCACTTATGATGATGTGCGAATCGTACCCGGAAGAGGATTGGAAGTTATCCAGGCAACATGGTGTGTATCAACCCCAAAGAGAAGGAAGGTCAGGGGCCTTTCCGTCTTGGCAGGAGCTGAGCTTGGAATGAGGATAGGAAGGAGGCCATTGGGGTCAGTGCTGCCTTATTCCTTGGTGTCTACAGAATTCCTCCAGAGGCCGAACAGTGGGATGGCAACGAGGGCAGCCCCGCGCACCAGACTGCCTGGGTCTGAAGCCTGCCTATCCTCTGTCCCTTACCTCACCTGTGCAGCAGCATAGTGACAGTGCCCACCTCAGTGAGCTCTGATGGGGATTCAGTGAGGTAGTATGCAGAGCAGATACCAAGTGGTACAGAACAAGCACTTAGTATTAGCACAAGATACCTGCCCTGCCCTAACTGTGTCCACCGCAGCGTGATGGGAGAAATTACCCATGTTTAATGATAGTCATTTCCCCCTGGAAGAAGCCCCTTAGGCACTGAAAGTCCTTGCGTTCACAGCCAAACTCATCATTTCTTCCCAAAGCCTGCCCCTCTTACAGTTTCCCACTCTCAGGAATGGCACCACCTCAACCAGGCACTCAAACCAGAAACCCGGGAGTCAGTCCAGGCTCCTTCTCCCACCTTCTCCTGCATATACGGTTGCAGACCAAAACTGTTTAGTTTGGTTCCTTAAAATTTCTCCAGTCTTTCTCATCCTCCAGCCCCACAATTGTTGCTTGAGCTCGGGCCCTCATCTTCTCTTGCTCTGTGTATGCGATAGTCCCCTAACCCTTGTAGACACCGACCTTCGTCCGGCTCCAGGCATCAATCCATTCTCCCTGAGGCTGCCACAGGGACCTTTCTAAAACACAAAACCAATAGTATCTCCCCACCTCATAACCCTGCCTTGGCTCCGCAGTGCCCAAGCAAACCCCATAGCATGGCATAGCAGATCCTTTGGGATCTGGCCCTGCCTGCTTTCAGCCCCACAGTGTCCCTTGACCTCTCTCCACTCCCATCCTTCAATCCAGCCCTTCCGAGCTCATGACAGTTCCCAGAATGCTGTGACAAGCCTCCATGTCTCTGCTTCACTGCCCCGTCTGCCTGGGATGCTCCTTACCCAGTTTCCTGCTCATCTTTTGAGACTCTTCTCGAGAATTCCTTATCTTTGAAGCCATTCCTGGCTACACCCCCCCCCCAATATAGGCTCGGCCATTCTCTGCCCTCACAAGTAATCTGCATTCCTGTTCTAGCACCTGTAATTAACTTCTGATGCCTATTGGCATGACTTGCTTTCCTACTGGGCCATAAAGCCGTTAGAGCAGAGATCAAGGTTGACTCGTACCTCTTGTCCTAGGCCCTGGCCAGTACCACTGTCCCTATTACAGGCCAGTGACCAGGAAATGAATTTCCAAGAGCTGTGAGGACTGCGCATTTATAGCTAGCATTTCTTGAGTGTTCACCATCAAACTGAGTTGACATGTATTCTGTCCTTTAATTCTCTAACAACATATGGCGGAGGTACTACTCCTGGCATTATTATGCCCGTTTTACTGGGACGGAGAGCAGTTAACCTGCCAGAGTCACAGAGCTGAGAAGTAGCAAGCTTAGGACTAGAACTCAGCTCTTTCTTACCCCAAATCGACTCTCTTGCCTCCACCTCCCAGTAAATCAGGCACTTGAGGGAGAATGAAATCTGTATGTCTTTTCACAAAGTTCAGTTTCTAAAACCTTGTGGGAAACTAGGAAATCTAGCCCTGACAGGAGAGAAAGCCCCGAAGCCATTCTCAAGGCAGGAGAGCTTATTATGACAATACAAGTTTGTGGTTTCCAGATGGTTTTTGAAAATAATTTGGGGTTAAAGAGAAACAACAAAATCACTAAAAATGATTTACAATTTATTACTCTCAAGTCTTCATGTTTCAGGAAAAGCCAACAGAGCTGTTCCCTGGTGATACTAAGTTCTCTTCCTAATTCACCCTCCAGACTTCATTTTGGCCTTGTGCAATCTCCCTACTGAAAGGGCGTTGTTTCGTGATTTCTGATACAAGTCAGACCTGCCTGGCCGTCGCTTCAGCCAGTCACCCAACAGCTGTAACGGGGGACCCAGCCTGGTACAAACCCGCCAACCCTGGGTGTGAACATCACCATTGCATTTTGGCCTGAAAACTCCTGGGACCATAACATTTATGCCTTTGGGGAAAGCAAATTATTCATCTGGAATTTGAGGGGATTTTTGTTTTCCTCCTATCTGAGCCAGGAAACTATTCAAAGTATGTTTGCAACCTGCTTAGCACTCCCCACTTGGCCATGCTCTCCTCCAAGAACACACGAGAGCACTAAGCCGTGGGTGAACCGAAGGGCGGCAGAAAAGAAATCCTCATACCAACAGATGCCCCCTTCACTCTCCCTGAGCTTTCACTTTAGATGGCTCTGTGGACAGGCGCCTGGCTGGCTCAGTGAGTAAAGCATGAGACTCTTGATCTCGGGATTGTGAATTTGAGCCCTGCACTGGGTATGGACATTACTTAAAAATTAAAAAAAAAAAATGTTAATCTTTAGATGGTTCCTTGTTGTGGGTGACATTGTTTTGTTTTCTTTTTAACTTAGCATAGGTAGGTAAGACATTGAATTTAATACCTTATCAGTATACTTAAAAGATATATCGTTTAAAAGGGCCTTGGGGTCAGATCGGTGTTTTAAGCCCACCTAAAACATGCTTTTGTTAAACAGTTTGAATGCTAGAAATTTCCTGAGACCAGCAAAATTCTTTATAGTACCAATACTCGATTTAATTTTGCCTACTCATTCTAACTTTGTAAAGAAAAGTGGACAGAGGGGGAAAAACTAGCATCTGTAAGCATTTATGATGTGTTGGGTACCGTATTTGCCAATTAACTTACATCATTTAATCCTTACCAAGAACTTCAAGGCAGGTAGTATAAGACTCACCAAAGCCAAGTCATTTGCCCCAGGCTGGGGTTGAAACCCAGAGCTGTCTGGTTCCAGAGCCTCCCCTCCACCCCCGCCCTCCCCTGTCACGGACTGTTCTCTATAGATCCAAATTGATGTGTTTTAGGAAAGGCAACTTTACTGCAGTCAATTCTGCCACTCTGATTCTTTAAGAACTGTTTGCCAGCTCTATTCCTTCCATAGGATGGTTCCAATGTTAACTTTGCAACTTTAAAAATGACGCAGCAGTGGAAAGAAGGATCCAGATGAGGGCACGTTAACAGTGTTTTCTGCCCAGAGTTCCTCATTCTTAACTGAATGCTCTGGCAAGTTTCCAGCAAAGAAAATTAGGTGGAGGGGAGGGGAGACCTGGACCCAGAAAGCTGGAATCAGGTAGAAAGTTGAGGGCATAGAAAAAATGTGCGTTGGGGAGGTCAGAATCGGGAGAGATTTCTCTCTGCTTAGAGGTGAAGAGGGATTTGGGAATGTTTCAGGGAGGAAATAGCATTTAAGCAGAGCCTTGACCTTGAAGGATGGGGGAGCACTCCTTTCAAGCAAAAAGGAAACTGTGAACAAAGACACGGAGGCAGGAAAGGGAGAACATTGGTGGAAAATAAGGTATTAATAGTGCTATATTATCAACAGCACCGCTTTTCATAATGGCACTCCGGTATCTGGTATGAAACAGAATGTGTTCCATGACCAAGTATATCACAATCATCTGTTGCTGGAGGAGCAGTCTTTCCATGCTACAACACATCTGGAAATTCTGCTTTTTGAATGGCATATATTTGCGTAGAGGTGGTCACATTAACTGATGTCAAGTTTAAGATCCTGTCTCATTTTGCTTCTGCAGAAGGAAACTCCACTTGCCAACGCCGCATTCTGGGCAGCAAGAAGAGGCAACCTGGCTCTGCTCAGGCTGTTGTTGAACAGCGGTCGGGTGGATGTGGACTGCAGGGACAGTGTACGGATGGATTCTTTCGGTATATGCATGCCAAGGGCACGCCATTTCCCCTGCCGGCATGAGAGCAGCTCCTGAATACATTTCCCTGTACAGTGCTCATCTACTCTTTCTGTATGCCGGCTTTATCCTTTTAAAATCTCCAATGTACCCTGGTGAATGTAAAAACTTTTTGGGGGCTGGAGGGGGCGCCTGGGTGGCCCAGTTGGTCAAGGGTCCCACTCTTGATTTCTGCTCAGGTTGTGATTTCACCGTGTGAGATCGACCCCCGAGTCAGGCTCTGTGCTCAGTGGGGAGTCTGCTTGGGATTCTTTCCCTCTGCCTCTCCCCCTCCACTCACACACGCTTGTACACACACGCACGCTGTCTCCTCTCTCAAATATTAAAAAAAAATTAAAAACATATCAGGGAAACCATTACATGCATAAAACGGAAGGCAGCCACAATAAGGAAAGAGGCACTTCACTGGGAATTACAATTAGCAAATTCCAAGAAGGAAAGCGTTTTTAGTCAAAGAATTCAAACCAACTGCTTCCGTGGAAAGTGGAGATAATTCAGAACAGAAGAGGATTGCCATGAATGTGTAAGTTGGGTTTTCCTATAAAGATTCGAGAACTGAGAACGGAAGCCACCACCCAGCCTCTTACCTTTCACTATTGTTGCAAACATCAATACACGCACTGGCAAGTAAGGGGTTTAAAAATAGATACTCCTGCCCACTGGCAGGCATCCTTTGGGGAGCCCTCCCCCCGCAGAGAGAATCAGTGATTTCTCTGTACTCAGCAGGACGATGCATCTCTGGGGATCAGGAAGACCTCAAATGAGAAAGAGAGAGACAACAGAAATATTTTGATTTTAGGAATAAAAATGTTTTCAAGGGAGCCTTATTTTCCAGAAAGCAGGATGTGCCATTTCCAGCTTTTATTGCACAAATTTGTTAAGCGAGATCAGCCGCCCGTCTTGAGATATCCAGGTTTGTTCGCTTTGCCCACTGGGGGCAACGGTGAGCAGTGTATTGGGTTTGCACCTCCAGATCCACCCAGACCCTTCTTCAGTTTGCTCTGTGTCACAGAGCCCTGCTGCTGCCAACTCCCAGTCCAACATTGCTCTTGTAATGGCACAGCTTTATACATCACACTTTCTTCCAGCCATCCAGTGTGACTATGCCTTCTGCTCCTTTCGCTGGGGCCCAGGCTGATAGGTGGTCAGGCATCCATGAACTGGCCATCCCAGTCTTACGTGGGTCTCCTCAGCAGCCCTGGGCCACACTGGAGTAGGAGTGCTGGTTTTCCCTGTGGCCTCACCCCCTGATCGCACTGATGACCATTTTTCCTCTTTTTCTTGAAGTCACCCTTTCTCAGCCACCCCTATAACTCTTTCCTGACTTTTAGTTTCCTAGGGGCCACAGTGCCACACACATCTGCCCCCCAGATAGTAAGTACCCCGTATGCTCAGCCTTCCCAGCGCCCTTTCCTCCTCAGTGTGACCTGTCCCGCTACCTCCTTTCCCCTCAGAGCTCATCCTCTCTCTTGGTCTGCTCTCTCAACCAGAAATTTTACTTCTGTGAAGAGATACTAATATGTTTACTTCTCCTCACTTAAACTAAAAACTCATTTTATTAGCAGCTCTCTGGAGAAATGGTTCCTTAAGCCAAAGAAGGGAGTCTAATTGTTGGGTGGTAGGGTAGCTCTATTTTTAACTTTTTGAGGAACCTCCATACTGTTCTGCAGAGTGGCAGAACACCAGTTTGGTGGTGTTCTGGCACCAGTTTGCATTCCCACCAACTGTAGGTGGGTTCCCCTTTCTTTGCATCCTTGCCAACATCTGTTGTTTCCTGTGTTGTTAATTTTAGCCATTCTGACAGGTGTGAGGTGGTATCTCCACCATGGTTTTGATTTGTATTTCCCTGATGATGAGTGGTGTTGAGCATTTTCTCATGCACTACTAGGTATTTACCCAAAGGATACAAAAATACAGATTTGAAGGGACACATGCATCCTGACGTTGATAGGAGCATTATCAACAATAACCAAACTGTGGAGAGAGCTCAAATGTCCATCGACTGATGAATGGATAAAGAAGATGTGGGGTGTGTGTGTGTGTGTGTGTGTGTGTGTGTGTGTAATGGAATATTACTCAGCCATCAAAAAAATGAAGTCTTGCCATATGCAACAACATGGATGGAGCTGGAGTGTATTTTGCTAAGTGAAATAAGTCAGAGAAAGACAAATACCATCTTGATCTCACTCATATCTGGAATTTAAGAAAGAAAACTGATGAACATACGGGAAGGGGAAAAAGAGAAAAAGGAGAGAAGGAAACAAGCCATAAGATGCTCTTTTTTAAAGATTTTATTTATTTATTTGAGAGAGAGAGCACAAGTGGAGAGGAGGGGCAGAGGGAGAGGGAGAAGCAGGCTCCATGCTGAGCAGGGAGCCTGATGCAGACTCGATCACAGGGCCCTAGGATCATGACCTGAGCTGAAGGCAGACACTTAACCAACTGAGCCACCCTGGTGCCCCAAGAGACTCTTAGCAGTAGAGAACAAACTGAGGGTTGATGGAGGGAGGAGGGGTGGGGGATGGACTAGCTGGGCGATGGGTATTAAGGAGGGCACTTGTTACGATGAGCACTGGGTGTTATATGTAAGTGATGAATCACTGAATTCTACTCCAGAAACCAATATTGCACTATATGTTAACTACCTAAAATTTAAATTAAAAAATTAATTAAAAATTTAAAAAACAAAGCAAGTCTAAATGATGGTAAGACGGCTTGTTGATTTTGAAAGCGTCTCTAAGATTGGTGGTAACAGAGACAGAAAGATGTTTGGGAATAGTACAGGTCTTAGTTCCCCTCAAAATTTTACTGGGAGGATTTCCACCTCCTTCAGGTGCCACCTGAACATGGAGTCTGGGTTCCAGGATGACCCTGGTGGTGAATGACCTCTGACCAGTCCTACCCTGGCCGATGGGGCCCAGCCTCTGGTTCACCTGGAACTCCTAGGAGAGCTGATGGAATGCATGGAGAGGCCCTGGGGCTCTCTTGGGAGCTGCTCTCAACCTTGAGTTCATGACCATGTTCTAACTTCCAACAAATAGCATTTAAAGAATGAATACATTATCTCTAGGCTACCCACCACACAGCAAAGCTTTGATTTGCTAACATTCACTTTCTTTCCTAGATTAATGTTGTCTTCACATGATATTTACATTTTTTGCTTTCTTCATCTCTCTGATGCACATTTACCACCTCATCCCCCCACACCCACCTCCCCTCTGGTAACCATCAATTTGTTCTTTATAGTTAAGAGTCCGTTTCTTGCTTTGTCTCTTTTTTCCCCCTTTGTTTTGTTTCTTAAATTCCACATATGAGTGAAATCATATTGTATTTGTCTTTCTCTGACTGCCTTATTTCACTTAACGTTATACTCTCTAGATCCATCCATGTTGTTGCAAATGGCAAGATTTCATTTTTTATGGCTGAATAATATTCCTGTGTGTGTGTGTGTGTGTGTGTGTGTCTAGATAGACAGACAGATAGGTGGATATCTTCTATCTTTATCCATTCATCTGTTGATAGACATTTGGGCTGCTTGCATATCTTGGCTATTGTAAATAATGCTGCAATAAACATAGAGGTGCACGTATCCCTTCAAATTAGTGTTTTCGTATTCTTAGGACAAATACCCTGTAGTGCAATTACTGGATCATAGGGTCTTTCAATTTTTAATTTCTTGAGGAACCTCTATACTGTCTTCTACAGTGGCTGCACCAATTTGCATTCCCACCAACTGTGCATGAGGGTTCCTTTTTCTCCACATCCTCACCAGTACTTGTTTCTTGTGGTTTTGATTTTAGCCATTCTGACAGGAGTGAGGTGATATCTCATTGTGGTTTTCATTTGCATTTCCCTGAGGATGAATGATGTTGAGCATCTTTTCATGTGTCTGTTGGCCATCTGGATATCTTCTTTGGAAAAATATCTGTTCATGTCTTCTGCCTATTTTCAAATTGGATTATTTGGTTTTTTGGTGTTGAGTTGTATAATTTCTTTATATATTTGGATACTAACCCTTTATCAGATTTGTCATTTGCAAATATCTTCTCCAATTTAGTAGGCTTTTAGTTTTGTTGGTTGTTTCCTTTGCTGTGCAGAAACATTTTATTTTGATGTAGTCCCACTACTTTATTTTTGCTTTTGTTTCCCTTGCCTCAGGAGACATATGTAGAAAGATGTTATAAGGCTGATGTCACAGAAATTACTGTCTGTGCTCTCTTCTAGAACTTTTGTGGTTTGAAGTCTCAATTTAGGTTCTTAATCCATTTTGAGTTTATTTCCGTGTATGATGTAAGAAGGTGGTCCAGTTTCATTCTTTTGCATATAGCTGTCTGGTTTTCCCAACATCATTTGTTGAAGAGACTGCCTTTTTTCCCATTGCATATTCTTGACTCCTTTGTCAAAGATTAATTGACCATAACACCATGGGTTTATTTCTGGACTCTCTATTCTGTTCCATTGACCTATGTGTCTATTTTTGTGCTAGTACCATTACTGTTTTGATTCCTACAACTTTGTAATATAACTTAAAATCTGGAATTGTGATACCTCCAGCTTTGTTTTTGTTTTTTTTTTTAAGATTTGTTGGGCTATTCTGGGTCTTTTGAGATTCCATACAAATTTTAGGATTATTTGTTCTAGTTCTATGAAAAATGCTCTTGATGTTTTGATAGGGATTACATTCGATCTGTAGATTGTTTTGGGAAGTATGGGCATTTTAACAATATTTTTTCTTCCAATCCATGAGCATGGAATGTCTTTCTATTTGTTTGTGTCCTCTTCAATATCTTTCATCAGTGCTTTATAGTTTTCAGAGTACAGGTCTTTCACCTCCTTGGTTAAGTTTATTCCTAGGTATTTTATTATTTTTGGTGCAATTGTAAATGGGACTGTTTTCTTAATTTCTCCTTCTGCTACTTCATTATTAGTGTATAGAAATGCAA